AAAGAAAACTGGCAACCAAGAATTCCACATCCAGTAAAGTTACCTTCCTTACAAACAGCAAGACAAAATTAAGAAATTTCCAGAGAAACAAATACTAAGAGAATTCATCACTAGCAGATCTGCCCTACAAGAAACACGAAAGGGTCCTTCCTTTGTGTTGAAATGATAGCACACAAGATAGTAGCTCAAATCCCCAAAGAAGGAATACCAGTAAAGGTAAATGCATATGTAAATAGAGAAACAGTATAAATATATTTTTGGCTGTAACTCTTTTCTCCTATCTGATTTAAAAGACAACTTCATAAAACGATAAACATACAATTGTGTCAATAAACATTTAATGGATAAAGATGTAATTAGTATGACACTGACAGCACAAAAGAAGTGGAAGAAAACAGCTATCTTGGAGCAAAGTTTTTGTATACTATTGAAATTAAGTTAGTATTAATCTGAACAAGTTCGCCTTAAGTTAAATTAATTGTGATCCCTAGAGTGACCACTAAGAAAATTACTAAAAAAATATATAGTAAGAAAAGTAGGACAGAGTGAAGACACATTGTAGAGCCATGTGGGAATAGAGTAAATGGAAATTTGTTAGATGAAAGTGAGATATTCTCCAACAAGGAGCACATAGTCTAGGTCAGGGGTTGGCAAACTTTTGAGACGGAAGAGTCACCAGGGGTCAGCAAATTGCAGCTCACAAGCCACAGGCTCTGAAATAAAATTGAAATGAAGATAAAACTATCATAGTTTCATTTATAAAAAATTTAAAGTATATTATTCACATAATGGTGATTATGTAAAAATATATTTACGGTTCTCGAATAATTTTTAAATTGTTGTGAGGCACAGGATTGGCTCTTCCAGAGGTTGGCAAACTTTTGAGACGGAATGTACCCAAAGAGCCACATGTGGCTCACAAGCTGCAGTTTGCCGACCCCTGGGCTACTGGAAGAATCTGAAGAGTGAACCAAAAATTATTCTGTATTGTGCCCAATGACTGGAACACAGACTAGGGAAAGGAGTGGCCAGAGGTGAGGACGAGACTAGATCATGAAAGGTAAAGGTTGACTTTGTTCCTAAGGCATTAGGGGAATCATTTAAGGACCTTTCAGAAAAGAAGTGACATGATTTTGTGCAAACAAATGACTGTGAGTCATTAGGGAAATACACATCAAACCAATGAGACACCACTTCATACCCATGAAGATGGCGATAATAAAACAGACAATAACAGGTGTTATTGAAGATGTGGAGAGACTGAAATGCTTACACATTGTTGGTGAGAATGTAAAACGGTGCAGCTTCTCTGGAAAATAGTTTGGTCATTCCTCAAAATGTTAAATGTAGCGTTACCATATGACCTAGCAATTTCACTGCTAGGTACAAACCCAAGAAAACTGAAAACGTGTCCACACAAAACCTTGTATATGAATGTTCACAGCAGTATTATTATCCATAGCAGCCCAAAAGGAGAAACAAACCAAATGTCCATCAATGATGAGTGGATAAACAAAATGTGATGTAGACATACAATGGAATATTATTGAGCCACAGAAATGAATTACTGATACATGCTCCAACATGGATGAACCTTAAAGACCTTAGAAGTTATAATAACGTTATAAAATAAACAAGACACAGAGGCCACATATATATGATCCCATTGATATGAAATGTTCAGAATAGGGAAACCCATAAAAACAAAGTATATCAGTGACTGCCATAGGCAGGGGCTTGGGGGGCGGGTTGCGGGGGGGCAGTAGAAAGAGAAGGAAAAAGAGAGACTATTAATGGATATGAGGTTTCTTTGGGGGTGAAGAAAATGTTCTAAAGCTAGATAGTGGCATGGTTACACAACTTTGTGAATATACTAAAAACCTCTGAGTTGTATATTTCAAAAA